CTTATAATATATAAAATTAATGTATAAATATAATTTGTTAATATTTTATAATTTAATATAATTTAAATTATAAAATATTTTTTTATTTGTAATCCTGGCCTAGACTTTTCGAATTTCAGATGAATGCTTTCTTCCCCATTTTGGTTCTGTATATTTCCCTCTAAAATTCAACGGAAAACTGTTTTACATTATATACTGTTTCCGACGGCAAAACAGTGGAGCCTTTTCTTTTTTAGTTTCTTGGCAAAAACCCTTCTTAAGCCCCCAAACGTATCCCAAAATAACATTTAAGTCCCTAAACTAAAAATAAGCCAAATAGATCCTCCAACTTTACTAATAATGCAAATAAGCTCTTCTCACAAATGGACCAAAGGTATTTCATGTTTCATATCACCTTAAAAGTATGAACACCTATGAATAAGAATGGCTTATTTGCATCATTAATGAAATTAGAGGGTTTATCTGCTTCGTTTTTAGTTTAGGGGGTTAAATGCTATTTTTGGGATAAGTTTAGGGGTTTAAGAAGGGTTTTTCCTAATTTCTTGCCTCTTAGCCACGTCAGCATATTTGGACGAGCTATCCGACAAAATTATACGAGTGCCACAGATGCCAAACAACATAACTGAGGGCCCACCATTTCAGAAAATAGTCGGAATCCCAATTGGTCGTAGTATCGGCTCCCATCTAATCACATTAATCCGACGGCCAATATCCAACTTTGCCTTAGTTGTCCGGACACGTAGGCGCCGCATACTTTTCAAACACACAAAAGAATCATCATAATTTCTGGCATCAACTTTTGGGCCCCACCTGTTAACAGCTCCCCCCCACCACCCCCCCAACCCACACCCCATTGGCCCCACTTCCCCCCCTCCCCCCCTCTTTTGCGGGACCCATCACGTTGAAGCCAATATAATAAGGAGATGAATTTCAGGAGCCCCTTTTTTTTTTTTTTAACTGGGTCCACTATGATGCCCATATGATCATCATGACGGTAGATGATGCTGTAATCACCGTTGGGGTTTCAGATCGGGATGATGATTGACGGTTCTGATTGGATGTGATGGACGAACCGAAAAAGTATTAAAAAAAAAAAAAGTAGTAGAGGGTAGAACGTAAAATTCCTTCAAATGACCGAAAAGTCCTACAAAGTGGGTGCTAGTAAAGCCATTTTTCAGTGGTGTAATAGTCAAAGTGTAGGTCGGTCAGGGAGACGTGGACCCATGCCCAATGAATGGGTCATGGCGGGTCTCATTCAATTTTGCTTCTAATTTTGTTTTGAAAATTTTTGCCCACGCGGGAAGCAGCGCGTGAGATTACTCTCTTCTGTTTTTCCAAAGTAGAAAAATTGGAATTGCCTTTGTCATTCTTCATCCCCATTCAAATTTCCTTGGGTTGGTATAATTGGAATGACCATTTGTTACATTTTCTTTAATATCTTATTTATTTAAAATTGCTTTTTAAAGTTGGAATTTGAGACCATTAGTCAAATAAATTCAAGTTATTTCATTTTTACTCATCTCTAAGGCAAAATTTAAGTTTTTAATCATTAATAAATTATTATCTTTTATAATTAAAAAGTTTTAATTTTAGGTTTTTGATCGCGATTCAAATAATTACATTATCAAGTAATTATCAAATTTAAATATTATCTTGAACTTGTTATTTTTGGATTGTTGTTAAATAAATTACATTGGTTATAATTTTTTAAAATAGTTATGAAATAAATACAGAGATAGTACACTAATTATAATTTGATAAATAATGCATATTTAGATTAAATTTGAATGAGTTAACAACTTCAAATGTCATGTATTAAGATTACTGCTAATCAAATAAAGATTGCAAGATTGAATTTATGAGTTCAAATGCTGCCTTTGACTAATATAAAAATGGTTCATAATTTTATGGCCAAGATCATGTACTGCCTTCCATTTCTTTTCCTTTTTTAATACAAAAAAGAATCATATTAATCATTTTTTTTACAATATAAAATTTTTCTCTATTCACTATTTTAAAGTAAAATATTAGAAATTTATACACAATTTTATCTAGTAGTAAATGAGTTTACTTACATAATGGTAACTAATTAAAATTATTACTTTTCGTGTGACAAAATATGTCTATGATTAATTTTTCTTTTCATCCGATAAAATAAAATTAATATGTAATTATTATTCTAATAACATGTATTTATCATGAGTATGAGACTTTGTTTGACAAGAGTATGAGACTTTGTTATGAGTTAAGTTTATTATCAATTTCATTAATTAAATAAGCAGCTGCCCATTTATATTTGT